TAACAATAATGACATTSCACAGAGGCATGGAGCCATTTCATTTTGGAATCCCAGGGAAAGTGTGTGAAGCTGGGGGACCCCTGATGCAGCCACCACATGGATCTGCTGTATCTGTTCCTGCATGGCTGCAACATGCGTCCCTTGGATCTGCCCTCAGGCTCTCACTGATGCAGCAAATTTCCATTTATTTCTCATACTGGCTTTTCACAAGCCTCTGGATTTTCCTTTYCCCCCTTCTAGCAGTCTCCAGACTCTGAGATTTATAAAATACAGAGTTTTGAGACCTGAGAGCTTGCAGCATCCAACTACAATAGCTGTTAAAAAATCTCAGAAAAATCAAAAACTCCAACTCCCCCAAAGAAACAAACAAAAACCTACACAACTCCCCCCTTCCTCTCCCCCACTTCCTTTCATTCACTGTACTCTTTTGAGAGTAAAAAACTCAGAAGCAATTTAACCCACATAGCAGTGTCCCCTTTCATTCACAGGCCGCTCTGGCTGAGATTCCATTCCAGCCGGATCTCATCCACACCCTTTTCCTGTCCAAGGGCGGAAATCCCATGGGAAATGCCCCAAAAGAAGCAAGCCAGTTGCCACCACCCAGTCGGGAAGACCTGGCAGCTGTGTTGGGCTCTGGCAGCAGCTCCTCACCGGAACCTCCCAGCCAGCCCACCTTCAATAATAGACAGTTTCCATCAAAATCATCTCAAGCCTTTTCCACTTTGACTTAAGAGGCTCCCCCAGTTCGGCACAGCCCAAAATACTCCTGAACCATGCGAGGGCAGCCCTGGCTGAAGTGGGAGCAGACACAGAACACACTGGCCTTTCCGACACACCTGGGCAAGGGGAGAAGGGATGGCACCTGCAGTGGTGCAGTGTCCCCTCCTCAGTCCTGGCCTCTGGAAGCAGCCACTGGTGTAATACCAGAGGACATTTGGGACAGCCAACATCCCCTATGAGCAAACACACACAGAAGAGAGGAACATTATATAGGAGGAAGGAAAGGGGAACAGGGACATATTTAGGTTGGACATGGACATCAGGAAATGTTTTCTCATGAAGTGGGTGGGTGAACACTGGGATAAGCTTCCCAGGGAAGTGGTCACAGCYCCAAGGCTGCCAGAGCTAAGAAGCACTCGGACAACACTTTAAGGCAGATATTGGGATTCTTGGTGTGTCTTCCTCAGGGTCAGGAATTGGACTGGATGATCCTGATGGGTACCTTCCAACTCAGCCGATTCAATGATTCTATGAGAGGGATGACAGCAGCACTGAGATACAGGAAACTCCCCCAGCAGAGAGAATGTCACCCACTCTCCTGGCACCTCTGGTTTGTTTGCTGGGGAAGGAAACCAAGCGCACAGTGACATGGGGGACCAGTGAGCTGCATGGAGGCTTACTGCACCACTGAGCTGAGACTGCATGGAAAGGAGATAAAAAGTGATCCAGCCTGACCCTCCCACCAGCCTCAGCTGCACCCCAGCCTTTTGTYACCCAGCCCCATCCCCTGGCTGGAGTGGTCCTGGGGGCCAGCAACCCACTCCTCCCTCTGCTGTGTTGATGGGCATTACTGGGGGCTGGGGGCTGCCTTCCCCTCAGCAGTGAGCTGGGAGCCCCAGTAAAAAACGGCAAGGTTGTCACCACCCTGGCCACAGGACCCACTGGGACCAGAGTGAAAGCAGTGATGAGCTGCCAGGGAGCACAACTGGCTCTTTCCTGAGAGTGCAGCATATCCAGAGGCACAAAAAGGGCATTTCTGCGACCGGCCATGCTCCCTGGGCCAGGGGCTGGGACGAAGACAGGGGAAGGGCAGATGTTGAAGCCACCACATCCTGCCAATGCTGGCAGGACCCCACCACTGGCCCCCCAAAAGCCGGGACTGCAGCACACCCAACTCTCCCCCACATCCTCGTAAGCATGACACAGCCACAAGCTCATGGCTCAGCACTGTCCCCCTCCTTGCACCCAGGCATGAGACGCAGGTCCAGGGCTGCTGGCATGGCACGACGATCCAACCCGATGTTTCCAGCACCCTATAAGAACAAAGGCAGGCACCCAGGATCTGGGGGTGAGACGCTCCCTGCACACCGCCAGAGCCCTCTGCCCTCACACAGCACAAGGCGCCTTTCAGAGCCACACAGACATGCCATTCTCCTGCTGCTGACCTCCTTGCCCTGGCATTTTGGGATTCAGGCTCCACAGTGGCAAGCAACGGCATTGGAAGCAGCAGCTTGAGACCATTCATCTGCATGCCCATGTGTCTACTCGCTAATCAGAGGGGCCGATGGAGCTGCTCGCTCACACAAGATGACAGTACAGCCAGGCACTCATTAGGCTGTAGCACACACTCGCTTTCCAGGCAAAGAACATTAAAAACAAGGGAAAGCAGCAACACAGGCTCTAGCCTCCCCAGGGCTTAGAGGAGGGAGGGAGCTCAGAGGAGCAGCCACAGACCCACTCACCCCAACAAGGGAGCACCAGCCTCAGAGGGGTTCTCAGCAGGGAAGGGTCTGTTACTAAAGGTGTATTTGTTATCGGCAGCAGCAACTCCYTCCAGAGGTACCAAATAATCACACTGCTCATCAGCTTCATTTCATGAACCAGCTGTGCAGCCTGCAGGGACAGTTCTGGTTCCAGCATCTCTGATGGGACAGCCACGAGCTCTCCAGTGACCGGCCCTCAGGATGCACCAACTCCCTGAAGYCAGGGGCTGACTCAAGTTCAACGCCCCATTCCCCACTACAGAAGCCCCAGCCAACAGCTCAGAAAYCCAGAGAGTCCAGGGGAATCGCAGCGGTGGTTTGGGAACACCTATCCATCCCTCAAGGGAGCGAAGCAGGAGACAACATAATCCTGGCTTCAAAAGCAACTAATTTATCAATCTTGCATGGTCCATGGGCTGATCCCAGCCCGCTCAGAAACACACACATACACCGACACTGTGCCTATGCCACGGGGCCCAGCATAACTCAGCCAGTGCATGCTCTGCTCTGCAAGGCAGGGATTTATCACCCACTGCAGCTCCATTTCTTTTGCAAAGCAGCATTTCCAAACCAGGCAGGATGTGGTCTGCGCACAGACACAGCCTCCCGGCTGCCATGGAAAGCTGCACAGGGCACAGACCCAGCTCTGATCACAGCAGCCAGCACACCCAGGGCTCTGTAASCACCTGCCTGAACCAAGACAGCTGCTGCTGTCGTGTGCATCAATTATCCTTCCTCTTTGTATTCCTATTGCACTTACTGTCTYTTCTGAGGAGCATCATCAGGGAACATCCCCTTGGTGCAAAAGCATTCCAGCACTACTGCCTGAGCCAGCCTTGCTCTCTCCATGCTGTGGCCGGTTTTATTATGCCCTGGTCAGGAGCACAAGCCAAGCACGGAGCCTCAAATCTGTTCCTTGATGGTGAAAGGCAGCAGTGACAACCTCAGCACAGAACCCATGGCAGCGCAGGAGCAGAGGCAGCTCTRACACAAGCCTCTCCAGCACAGACTGAGGGTCACCATGCATCGCTGCAGCACGGGGTACAAGAAGAATGCCACTGCTGACCACATCAGAAGGGTCAAGGCACAGCTCGAGCCCACACTCAATGCCCCACAGGCGGGTCGACACGTCGGTGGCACCTCCCAGATTTGCCAGACATTGCCCGACGATGTGCCCCGCTGCCACCCAGGAGCCAACGGTGCCCTGTGCTCCGCCAGGAACCGCTGCCAGTTTCCAGCCGGCTGCGGCAGCTCCTCCGGCAGAGCCGGTCTCCTTGAAGCCGCCTTCCGACAACAAAAGCTTAGCCGAAACCTCCGGGCTGACTGAGGAGGCCTGGGCGACAGCCAGGAAGGGCAGGAGCCATTAACACCGGCGTGTCCGGACTTGAGGGAATGACGGAGCAACCAGAGCCATCTGCCCTCTCCAGAAACTCCGCAGACTGCTGGGCAGAACGGCCCTTCGCCGCCCTCCAGTCCTAGCCAGCTGTGCTCTAGCGCTCGCCAACTGCGCACAYAGGGGCAATAAACCTGCGATCGGAATGTTTTTTGAGGCTAAACACAAAAATAAAGCGRGGACGAGGTGTCACTCGGGGCACGTTTTCCAGCAGCTCCACAGATCCTCGGCGCGAGCGAACACACTCCGCTGCCAGCCCAGCAGTGATACCCCAAAGCGCGGGCAACACCCCGSAAATGTCCCCCGACCCCCGGCACCACAAGTGCCCGTGTCTCTTCTCTGCTGCTTCCAAAGCGCTGGTCACGGAGCCCGCTGCCGTTTAACTCGCACGACCCTGGAGTTTATCCGATCYCAGCCGCGCTGCGGGGAGGCGGGGGGGCGATCAGGACGATCAGGGCAGCATCGGGCCCGCACCGGCTGTGAGGCAGCGACGGGAGCCCGGCACCACAAACGGCCGGGATCTGAAGTGCCGGCACCGGCATGGAAGGCGGGAAGGATACGACACTCGCCACCGTAAAAGTCAGGCGAGGGGAATGACGAGGTGGGCGCAGGGTCCCTACACCATGGGCAGGGAGGCGGTATCCGGGGGCCGACGAGTTAGTACCCGCTCCGCCCGTAACGCACCGCCGCTTCCCGGCAGGACGGCTCCCGGCGAACCGCGGGACCGGGAAGGCCGCGGGAAGCCCGGACCGGGGACGGACCACCCGGGTCTCCCCCCCAAGCGGCGGAAGGTGCCGGGGCAGGCTGGCAGACGCACTCGGCAGCCAAAAGAGGCGACTGGGAGCGGGGGGAGCCGCCACGGGCACCGGCTCCCGGGAAGGGCGGGACCCCCCGCCCCGGCACTTGCTGCAAAACGGCGGAAAGGGCCGCGCCGGGGCCCCGACGCCCGGCTCGGTGCCTCTTCCCGCCCCAGTATCTACCGGCGCGCAGTGGCAGCATACCTCCCCCTCGGCTCGGTACCCCCTCCCGCCCCAATGCCGGTACCTATCGGCGACCCGCAGGAGCCGGCCCGGCTCGGCCCGGCCCACCCCGCTGCCCCCGCCCGCCCCAATGCCGGTACATACCGGCGGCCCGCGGGAGCCTCCCCGCCGCTGCCCGGGCATCTTGGAGGCGCGGGGACACGGCGGCGGCGGCGGCGCGCACGGGGCGGGGCGGGGCGGGGCAGCGCGCGCTCACTGGCCCCGCCCCTCCCGCTTGGCCCCGCCCCGCCGCAGGTGAGGCCGGGGCGCCGCCGGCA